AAAACCCCCCAAAAAAAAGAGAAAAAAAAAAAAAAAAGGGTAAAAAAAAAAAAAAAAAAAAAAAAAACCACAAATGAAAACAGTACAGTATAAGCGCTGTAAAGAAAGCGTTTACATTGTATGAGTATTAGGTACTATAGGGAATCTAGAGATGATTTAAAGTATACAGAAGGATGTGCGTATGTTGTATAAGGGACTTGAGCATCTGTGGATTTTGGTATCGGTGGGAGAGCCTGGAACACATCCCCCATGGATACCAAGGGATGACTGTACCTGGTAATGGGTCTTGGCACACTGTAGACCTTCAGTAAAATTTTCTTGAGTGAATTAATGAATTCACAAACTATTCGTTAGATAATTACTACGTGATAGCTATGACAGTATCAGCTAACATGTAGTGAACCTTTACCATGCAGCAGTGATTATTCTAATAACTTCACAGGTTTTTTTTTTTTTTTCTTTCTCAAAATAACCCTATGGGATAAGTCCTCTTATTTTGTCAGTTTTACAGATAATGAAACTTTGGGGTGGTTGATTGCTTTTTTTTTTATTTGGCAGCTGGCTTGTACAGGGATCAAACCCTGGACCTTGGTGTTCTCAGCACCATGTTTTAACCAACTGTGCTAACTGGCCAGCCCCAGCTGTACCTTTAACCCCTACTCTGTCCTGCCTCTACACGTGTGGGCAGGAACTCTATTAGGTTTTGAGGATGAGGATGGGGGTTGAGAGGAGTTGGACATGGTCACCACCCCAGAAGACTCATAGTCCATGGGAAGAGATGGTAAAAGGAACAGTTATTCCAAGATGAAATGATAAATTTCTTAAGGGACATTTGTATAGGACACTATGGAAGGATATAGGAGAGTTGTATTTTAATTCTTTACAAATTAGTAATTTATATTTGGTATGTACATAATCTAATAACTTAGTTCATTAAGTAGAATACGTGATTTTCTAACTATTCTGACAAAATCTAACGTTATAAAACAACCAAATAACATAGAGACTGTTTACGTTGCTAAATACCTTTGGCTTACAAAGAGGGAAGTTAAATAAAAGGATTTATTGTTAAGTTCCTGTAGATTTCTGGCTCCCTAGTGCTTCAGAAATGGAATTCTATTTGCCAAAATTGAAGTGAAACCCATCTTTGTTTATTAAAAAAAGGTATATCAGAAAATATATTTCTTTGTGCAGTTCAAAAAACTTGATTTGTGAAATTTGTTGTTGTTTTTGATCTTCCAGGAGAATCATGAAAAAGGTCTCCATGGAACCATCTGAACGCCTGGCCAGTCTCCAGGCTCTGTGGGACAGCCAGACCGTGGCGGAGCAGGGACCCTGTGGTGAGCATGCATTTTAAAACCAAAATGTAGACAGCTGGATGGATGTCCCCCTGCCAGGAAGTTAAGTCTATTCCTAGTGTGCTACTGTAAAGGTACAATTAGTTTTAAGGTGTGATTAGCAGTGCACAGACTTTAGATTGGTGGACAAAGTTCTATGTTTAAGCTCTCTTGCACCCTGCTATGTACTTACTTTAGAACAGGGAGGAGAATCTGCTGGTTTTTTTTGAATGAAAAGGATAATTGGCATGGTCAACATTGGCCATATTTAAGCTTTTAAATTTTAGTTTAAAAAGCATTTTGCTGAAAACCTGCCAACATTTCTGTTGTATGTCCCAGGTGGATTTTCTCAGATGTATGCTTGTGTTTGTGACTGGCTTGGATTTTCATACAGGGAAGAAGTACAATGGGTAAGTATACCTGTGAACACGTGCACACGTGCACACACTCCCAGAGAATAGTCAAGTATTTGGCTGACTTATTTCTCTCTCTCCCCACCCCCTTTTCATTTTTTTCTTCTCCTGAAAATCTTCCTTCCCCAGATAACATAAAAATCACCTGTCATTGTCTAATTCTCTTTGTGTCTCTCTTGCTTCCTTGATCATCTACACGGACTAATTCCATGGCTGAATTATATTTCAAATAGGATGTGGATACAATTTATCTGACACAAGACACCAGGGAATTGAATTTACAAGACTTTAGTCATCTTGACCACAGGTAAGCTGCGTCTGTTTCCTTCTTTCTCTTCCTAACTTTGTTTTCAGGGCTACAGTTCTCTATTGCCACTTAGGGATGTGTATCTCCAGAGAATCCTTTTATAAGGGGAATCTGAGAATCTAAGAATCTAGGGATCTTGCCTTTCACATAAGTTCATCACTATGAATGGCTTCTGGAGATGCGTGTGTGTACCCCAAATCCAGATTTCATAGTTAGAAAATGTGTGGAATTTTACCGTGGAAATGGTATAATTCTTAGGTTCTTATACCAGCCTACAAAAATCTATTTACTCTAACCTGTGTATAAAAAGTAGTTCTGTTTTACCTAATTAACACCTAGAATATTTTTTTCTAGGATGAAATTCTGTGCTGAAATCCTAACAAATGAATTTTAATTCACGGTTTCTTTATGAATTAGGAATTGCTAGGGTAAATATGCGTATGTTAGTGAAATCAGTTTGCCAATATCTGCCTTGAGATAGTGATAATAAATTCACAAAACCCATTCAAAGTTATTTAAGAGAGTTTTAGGTTTTAAGTTCTTGACTTGAATATACTTAGGGCCATGGCTCGTGTGATCAGGCCCCAGAGAAAAGCTTCATTTGGTTCCTTGTTTTCTCAACAAGAGCAGACCTGTCAAATTTATTTTGCTCTCTTACAGAGTTGAGCCCTGACCCCCTCCAGAATGTCTTTTCTGGTAATTTATCCTGGCTTATCCCAATATCTTCAACTCTGCACGTGCCATGACTTACTGTAGGCATGCTGATATCAGTCCTACTGTGATGAAACCCAGCCTATACATCTTTCTGTCTGTTTGGAACCGAGAGAGAAATCTGGGATTCCAGCTGTACCTTATATGCCATTTGGACAACTGGAATGTCACAGAGGATTTTTGTTGCCAGTGTCTCTTCTTAGCACCAGTGTCTTACCCTGAGAAGTAGCATTTCAGATTATTTTTCCACCTACCTGGAGAATTGCAGTGGGGTCCCTGAAGAGTTTTAGGTGACTGAATTGAGCAAGGAAAAAGTATACTAGATGGATTTGCCTCCTCTTTGCACAGCCTGGGTCCATGGAGGATGGTGAAGTGGGCTCAGCTGTGTCTGTAGTCGGGGCTGACATGCCTCAGGCCTCTGGTTCCCAAGGTTGGATTTGCTTCCTTTTTGTGAAGTAGGCAATTTTTCTCCCACTTACAGCTATTTTCCTTCTTATATCTGAAGGAACTTCATACTCTCAAATTTAGGCAAGATGTTACCTGTGTAGCATATAAAAAAGTGAACTGAGAAAGAAAAAGAGAAAATATTTTGTTTTGTAATATTTTCCAATAAGACAAGACAATTGGGGCCGAGCCCGTGGCGCACTCGGGAGAGTGCGGCGCTGGGAGTGCAGCAGCGCTCCTGCCGTGGGTTCGGATCCTATATAGGGATGACTGGTGCACTCACTGGCTGAGCGTGGTGCGGCCGGTCTCAGAAAGGACAAAAAAAAAAAAAAAAAAAGACAAGACAATTGCATGTAGAGTAAGGTAGGAGTAAAGAGGCTTACAGTATTGGGTCTCAGTGTTTTTGGTCCCAGGACTCCTTTGCATTCTTAAAAATGATCGATCTTTTGTTTATGTGGGTCAATCCATTGGTATTTACCATTTTAGAAATTAAAACTAAAATTTGGCATATTAATTCATTTAATAAGAGCATTAATAGACCATTATGTGCTAATGTAGATAAAATTTTTATGAAAAGTAACTGTATTTTCCAAAACATAAATAAATCAGCAGGAAGAGTGGCATCGATTTACTTTTTTGCTGATCTCTTCAGTATTTGACTTAATAGAAGATAGCTGGATTCTCATATCTGCTTCTGCACTCAATCTTTTGTAATATGTTGTTTTGACTAAAGTATGTAAAGAAAATTCAGGCTTCTATAGATATGTAGTTAGGGGAGTATTTTTTAACAGCCCTTTCACATAATTGTGGGTATTCTTTTTTTGGTAGGTCACCACAGCTCAGCAAGAGGTAGTTTCTTAAAGATTAGTTTCAATGTAGAATATAAGACCATATCAATGAAGATTTTTGTGTTTTGTTAACTTAAGATTTATTTGGTCTATCTTGTACTTTGGGTCTTGCCCGTGTGTGATTTTGTAGCATTGTGCATTGGTTATTTAGAGACTATTGGCTCACTGAGTTAGGCATAGTTCCCAAATATTTTGCTATTGTACAATAGCAAAAAAAAAAAAAAAGACATTTGTTGACTATCACCACTGATCTTGTTAAAAAGTACTGTAAAGCTGTCAAGCTCATAGTGGCAAATAAGTTTCCCAAATTCAAATTTTTGCTTAAAAAATGTAATTTTGCTACTGGAAAAAAATACTATCAGATTATTTCCTCGAACTGACTAACTCACTGCTTATATTTTAGAAGGAATGTCTGCCAAATTCCAAGTCTGAATAATTATACTTTGTAATTTTTTCCATGGAATTTCTTTTAAAAATGGAGATAGTTCTGCTTACAATTTCAATTACTTACAATTTCTTATAATTACTATCACACAAATACTTTATGTTGAGACGAATTATCACTTTGGTATATAGAAAAAGCATTTTGTACAGACTTTCCATTTTGTTACACGTAGTATTGAAAGGTGTGTACTCAGGGCCAAGAACTACTAAAATGAGTTAATTTTACTACTTCATCAAGGACATTTCAAAATGAAATTGACGTTTGGTTTTTTAAAAAACTGAGTGTGTGGCAGTGAAGACTCTTGCCTTGGTTTGTGCGAAGGTGCCAGCAGTTTTTCCCACCATTGCTTTTGCACCATCCGTGCACATGTCAACACAGTGAAAAGGACAAATTTGTCTTAGTATTATTGGGAACATAGTTTTGAACCCCCTGAATGGATCTCAGGGTCCTCCAGCAGTCCGTGGACATACTCGGAGAACAACTGTCCTATAGCAGTGAAGACACTGTAGGGCAGCTTGAGTGTTTTGGGACTTGCTTTGTTACACCTTTAATGAATTTTATACTGTTAATTCCTAAAAGTGGATTTACTAATTCCTTAGTTGAAGCATTTTTAGTTCATTAGTAAACACTGCATTAATTGGGTGGACCATAATCATCTATTTTTCTTTCTTAATTAAGGGACTAGAAGGAATTTTTTCATTACTGAGACTCTAGGAGTTGGAAAACTTTTTCTGTAAGAGGCCAGATAGTGAATGTTTTAGACCTTCTGAGCCAGACAGTTGCTATTACAGTGATGCAGCTCCACTGCTGTAGTTTAAAAGCAGCTGTAGACAATATGTAAATGAATGACTGTGTTCCTACAGAACTGCATTTACCCAAATGGGTGTTGTGGGCCATAGTTTGCTGACCTATGGTCCAGATCAGTGGCCTCTAATGTGGGATGTATATGCCCAAAGGAAAATACAAGATGAGCTACCAAAAAATGTAGTTGGTCCCTCCTTATCCACAAAGGATACACTCCAAGACTCCTAGGGGATGCCTGAAACTATGGATAGTACAGAACCCTATATACACTATATTTTTTCCTATCCATACATACCTATGATAAAGTTTAATTTATAAATTAGGCACAATAAGAGATAACAACAACTAGTAATAAAATAGAACAATTATAATAATATACCATTTACAATTTCATGGATAAAAGATTCATTCTTAGTGTAGATCATATGGTTTTTTTTTTTTTACTTATTAAGTTGAGACCTTTCTTCACTTTTTCAATTAAAGGAAGAACTTTATAGCTTCTTTTTGACATATCCAAATTGCCAGAGTCACTACTCTGCACTTTAGGGCCGTTACTAAGTACAATAAGGGTGGCTTGAGCACAAGCACTGTGATACCATGACAGAGAGGGCTACTAAGTGACTGATGGGCTGGTGGTGTAGACAGTGTGGATATAGTAGACAAAGGGATTATTTAAGTCCCAGGTGGATGGCAAGAGATTCCCTCATGCTAGTCAGCACACTGCACAATTTAAAGCTTATGAATTGTTTATGTTTGAAATTTTATATTTAATATGTTCAGACTGGTTGACTGCAGGTAATGGAAACCTATAAAAGTAAAGTTGCAGATAAGGGGGTACTACTGTATTATTCACCCATTTTGAAATTTCTGTCTTTGTTTTATAATATATATGTTAACATTGTAGTATTTAGTATTCAATAATTAAATATTAAAAGATAGAGGGTCTTTTTTTTAAAAACTATAACGGGCTTGATCTATAAAATATGGGGATTGCTGCTCTTTATGTTATCTCTCCTGCTAATGCCTAAATAATTTTGCTTTTTTTCAGAGTTCTATCTTAATCATCTTAATCTGCAGTGTTTGTCCCCTCTTTTTCTTTTTTTTTTGACAGTGAAACATTTCTTTTATTGAACTTCACGTACATAAACATACCAGTAAATTGTCCCCTCTTTTTAAGGACTTAATGCTTTCTGTGATTCTTACTATTAAAATTAGAGCCAGCTTCTGTATAAAGAGGGTATTTTCAGTCCTATTAGATGGCCTGTATTAATAGTATTTTGCTATTTGAGTTATAACAAGTTATGTTGGGTAAACATTTTTATGTAGTAGAAGCTTGAACATGCTTATTCAGGAAGGGAATGAGTCTGTACTTAAATAGTACAGTTGCCTGGAAGGATTCATTGTGGCATAATTTGAATGTGGTGTGGGTTATTCTCTAAATTTGAGAGATTTCACAAAAAGGCATGCTGGTATTTTTCTCATTTGGATGTTAATTATGGAGAAATTAGACAAGTTGGAGGTGTAAGAGGAGGCATGAAATGGGCAATGTGTTGAGCTGGAGTTTTTTAGCAAATATAGGCAATAATTCTCATGTGTGTACATGAATTTTCCCACTATGGTGTTTTATTCCCATGTTAGTTCTAGTTAAACAATTCAGATACAAGTAAGCAATCTTGTTTACTATTGACATTTATTAAAATGAGATTAGGCCTACATTTGTATGTAAAAATCTCTAAACTTGGGGCCGG